TGAAAACATGTTTGATGATGTCTAACTCAAACCGACTAATGAACACTCCTATTGAAGATGTTCACAAAAAAGGACCATTTCAAGTACAAAACTTAAAAGTAACCAACTAAGAATTTTTTGTAGTTTTTAAAGTTCAAACTTTTGGGACACTTGTCAAGATTATAGATTAGGTAGTTAGACATATCAAAGCATATTATAAATAGATTGTTGGGTCAATTAGATTATAAATAACAAACTAGTAGGTCAATTCCAATTTTCTTAGACAATTACATGCACATCTCAACACCATATTGGCCTAACACTAATAATGGCTACTAGTTTGAAGATAAAATGCATTATGCTTTTAAGCTTAATTAAACAATTTTTAGTCAATCATTGACCATGATTAAACGATCTTGATATTTGTAGAAGTGGGTTATTTTCCATTGAATTTTAGCTTTCGATTAATAACTCGGTGTTACTTTTGTTGAAGAAGAATTTTAATCTAAATTGGTGTTACTTTAGTTAAAGTAGCATTTGAATCTGAAAAAGATATTTGATTGATCGGTCGGTGTTATTTCTAGTAGAAAAAATATTTCAATCTGAAAAGCTATTGGCACTAAGTCACGAAGCCATATACATTCTCTTTGTAAATGTGGTGAAATTGTTGATTTGTTGGAAAAGATACTCATAATCATGTAAATTTTGGTGAAGTGTAAATTTTGGTGAAGAGTTGTACGTTTAAACAAATTTGTTGTTGTGACTCTTTTTGAGAAAAGTCTAAAATAGGTTAAGTGAATTTAATACTAAAACCAAATCACCACCAACACTAAGTGAAAATTAAAATTTTAGAATAATAAAATAAAAAAAATGAGAATATTGGCACACACAAGTAGTTAACGTTATCTTTCTTTTAATCATCTAAGAACTATGTATACTCTTCTTCATTCCTGATAGGAGATAAAAAAGTTTATCCCATTAATTTATAGCATTTATTATTTTCATAACAAAATTATTAATTAATTAAAGGTCTTGTAGTAAAAAATAATTAATAAAAATAATAATTGTGTTGCGGGTTGCATCAATTGTTCCGTGGCGGAGGCTAGGTGGACCAAGTCACTGTCGAATCATGACGCTTGGGCTGTTGCGCTCTTAAGTAAAAAAGAGTTGCGCACTAACTATCAGCTATAGCTTTTGGCCTAGTGGTAAGCGTTCGATCCAACAATTGGTATCAGAGCCAAGGTCATGAGTTCGATACCCAGCGTGGCAATTGCTAAGGGGGAGATTGTTACGGGTTGCATCAATTGTCCCGTGGCGGAGGCTAGGTGGGCCAAGTCACTGTCGAATCATGACGCTTGGGCTGCTGCGCTCTTAAGTAAAAAGAGTAGCGCCCTAACTATCAGCTATAACTTTTGGCCTAGTGGTAAGTGATGAGTCAATATTTTCCCCTATTTTCTTACCTTTCTGTACTTATTTTAATCTTTGATTTGTGCCTAATTGCTTATATTCTGCATTGTTTTCTATTTGGGCTGTAATTGGACTGGTAATTCATATTTTAGCTAATTTAAATTTTTTGCATCTAATTATTCCAAATTTCATTTTCAGGGCAGTTTAATAATTATTTGGGCTTGGAATTAATTTCTAAACTTCAAGTGGAGCTGCCACGTCATCTGCCATGTCATCTTCCATGTCACTGCTGCACCATTTTCCACCTCAGCATTCATTTTTAGTTTTTAGGCTATTTTATTGTTATTGGGTCAGACATGTAATTGTTTTGGGGCCCAATCTCATTTTAGGTCATTTTAGGTTTAGGCTAGGGCTGACTTGCCAGCCACTAGAGGAGGGGGGCTGAAGTGACTACGTGAACAGTAGCCTCCTTCATCATTCCAGACGTTTTTGGCTTCTCTCTTTGTTCTTCTGTTTTACGTTTTCTCTCATGTAGCTACAGTTTGGACGTTTTGGGTTTTCCTTGTTGCTTTCTTTTACGTTTTGTTCTCTTTGAGCTGCCATTGTATTTTCGTTTTACTCTTCTCCTCTGTGGTTGTGGAACTTGAACATTTATATTTGAAGAATACACATTTTCGTTTTCCTTCATTTTCGTTTTTGTTCATTTTCGTTTTCCTTCTCTGCCTTGCTGCATTTTCGTTTCTGTTTGCTGTTCTGTTTTATGAAGAGGAGGTTGATGTTGTATACGTTTGCTTAATTCGTGTATGGAAATCTTGAGTTAATCTTCGCTTAGTTGGTTAACTCGGATGGAACAAGGATTAAGTGGTTAATAGAGTAATCTTTTGAGAAACCAGGGATAAGAGAGTTATAATCCGAACAAGGAGCCAATCCATTTTATTTACTGTGTTATCTGCATTTATTGTGTTACAAACTGAATTTCTGAACCAAACCCCCATTTTGTGTGTTTAAGCCTTTAACAGTAAAAGACGGTCCTTGGGAGACGACCTAGGAGTCACTTCCTAGTACTACATTTACTTGTATTTATTTGACCGGATACGGATTCGATTAGTAAGCGCTCGATCCAACAATTTTGAAAATAATCTTATTATAAATAAATAAATTAAAGAGTTTACCAACAAGTTGTTGGTTCGAGTGGTATAAGATTCGGTCTCCTTAAACAAGGTCTCGAGTTTAAGTCTTATGAATCTAAAAATGTAATCGAGCATGGAGATCACACTAAAGAGAGTCAAGTTCCACAATAGAGATTAATCATCAATAAAGTCAGTAGATATATATCAATGTCATGGTTATCAATAAAAAAATGGTCTTAAATATAAGGACGAAGGTAATATATTTTATGTATATTTTAATTCAATATCTATAAAAGTTTATATATATA